TGAGCGTTAGACGAGGCATGCCGCGCACTAAGCGTATTATCTACGTAGCGACCACACCACTGTAATTTATTGCTGAAAACTAGATGCAAATGCTTTTAAGAAGTCTATGTATTTTATATACGAAGGCTAAAGATATATCTTGTGTGTGCGAATAGTAGTATCCTTTCGAAGTTGAAGTACCTCGCTTATTTTCCGGTGCGAAGGGTTTTCCGGGCCTGAGGGATGGATGTTAGATCTCTTGTTCCATAGTACAGGTCATGCGTTGAAGTTGACTTTTCAAAGAGCTTGCATTGACCTTGTGCTCTTTGATTGCGCCCGCTCTACCCCGACCATCTTTACATACCAGGTGAGCTCCTTCAACAAACTAGGTAGTCCATTAAAATCTTCATTCTGTCTCTCCGCCCGAACGACCACATCTACCTTCTCCATCAGGATAGCCTGTGCGACGCAAATAATTAAGCAGCATCTCGGTTTAACGTATGTCCCCACATCATTCTAATGTATCGAATAGAAACGGCTTTCACTCGTGCATAAACACATATCTTGAATCATACATTCATTTATTCTCTTTTCATCAAACGCGATCCAGAATACTAGATATTACTTTAGTATGACATGCAGTATAACCATCCACATGCACTGTTCTAAATGATGGTGCCCTGGCCCAATGTGTTCTCCCATGCCAGATCATGATGTATATCCAGGATTTCCAAAAACCCTTTTTCCGATCCCAAAGCGCCGCGCTATTATACAAACCAAACCATGAACGCTATCAGTCTGACCATCCACACCACTTTTATTAAAATAACACCAGCAACCAACCTGCAGCGCCAACGATTAAGCTTTCAACCCATCTATCGATGCCTGCATGCTGTACTGAGGTACCAACACCTTTGCTGGTTTGGCCTACACCACTCGCAATAAGATCGCCAGCGCCACGACTTGTCGTTACAGATGCCATGCTTGAGCTGGTAGTGGTTGCACTGTTACTCTTCGGGAGACTATTCACAGTGCTCGTCTGGCCGTTGATAATCAAAGCTGTACCTGATTTGTCCAGAGAGTATGTTGTTCCATCCATTTCAACCGTAGAACCAGGTACAAGCGTCGTGCCATTGCCTAACACGTACTCTGTTGTTCCATCTCTTACTGTTTGTGTGTACGTGATATCGTTGATCGTCAGCGCAGGAGCAGGTGTTATAACAGCACCAGGAGTCACGGTAGATGTAACGCCGTTGATTACAACAACACCGGCTGGTGCACCCTCGGGCATGGAATATGTAGTTCCCGAAATTGTGAGAGCGCCGCCGGGCGTGAGGGTTTGGCCAGGAGCGGGTACGTAGGCTATTTGACCATTGATCACAACAACACCGGCTGGTGCGCCTTGAGGCAGAGAGTATGTTATTCCGGCCAGGGTAAGAACGCCACCGGGCGTAAGAGTTTGGCCAGGAGCGGGTACGTAAGCTGCTTGGCCATCAACCATAACCCAACTGCCTGCGCCTACCGCTTGACCAGGCTCTACAACACCGACCGTCACGCCTCCAACTATTGTCGTAAATATGGTATGATCACCTACAACCGATGCAGGAGGAACGGTAATAGAGGGCGGAGGCCCAGCAGTAATAGTCTGTGTGACGCCGTTGACAACGGCAACACCACCAGGGCCAAGACTAACAGTGTTTCCATTGACAATGACCGGAGGGCCTCCTGGCTTCAAAGTTTCCGTTCCGAAGACAAACTCTCCTTGTGGATTGGCGGCGATTGTTCCCCCACCGACAGTGAGAACGGGAGGTGCTGGTGTTGCCGCTGCATCGAGAGCAACTGTGCTACCGCCCACAACAATCCTTGCTCCCTCACCGTTCCCGGGAATGATAATAGGGACTCCATCGACGGTTTGAGTTTGCCCTGGTCTGAGTGTTTGGCCTCCAACGACGATCACCGGAAGAAGCCAATCCGGAAAGCCTTGATCTTGGTGATCTGGTCTACCAGACTGACCTGGGACTTGTCCAGCTGGGCTTGCAATCGGTCCAGGCATATTTGAGGTTGGTCTAGGCATATTTAAAGGTCTGGGTATGTTGTCACTTGGTTGGTTGAGCTCGTTTGGCGGGAGTACAAAGTCATGTATATCGGGTTTGCCCGCAGGAGTTGGCGAAGGCAGATCAGCTTTGAGCGACACCGGTGAGTCAGAGAGGCACCTCAAACAACCTCGCACCGTGATATAAACGGACGTAGACTCGTACGTTGTCGAGAGGAAAGTCGATGTTGTTGGCGATGCCAATACCGGTTGAGACGTGGGCGGAGGCTGGGCAGCAGGAGGAGGAAACGGAGGGGCAACAGGAAGGCCTAAGGATAGCTGGAGGGAATTACTGATACTGGGAGTGGTAAAGGAACATGAAGCAAGATCCAGGCCCGGAAATTGCGACTGAACGGCTGGCTCTTGCTCAAGGTATTGGAGGACCTGGGTGGGCAACGGGAAATCGGATTGGCTTGTAGTGCTTGTCTGCAGTGGTTCCGTGTGCGTTACTACGAAATATGCCCAATCTTGTAGTGCAGTCCTGGGTGGCTCCCAATCTTTGAGTGAAGCCTGCTTGGGAACACATGTCGTGAGAGTCTCGTTGCTCTGGGCAAAGCCCAAACGGAAAGATTGGTCAGGCCCACCAAAGATATGGTTGTAGATAACGTAGGTGGGTCCTGCATCGAATTGGAGGCGTACCCCATCCGTAACCTCTACAGTGAACGTGGGCGTAGTGTGAGTAATGATTTCATCGTTACTGCCTGTTACGGTTTTTGTTTGATTGACAGTGTGCTCCTGGGTAACGACCGTGTCGATGGTGCCGTTGTTCAAGTAGGTGATGTACTCAGTAACGATGGTCTCGGTCACAACTGTGCTAGTCCAGCGTTCGAAAAGCCCGGCAGGATTGAACCAAGTGGTTATAGGAAGTTTGGCTGCAAGCAAGCAGCCTGTGCACGACGAGTTACCTGTGGAACACGTCGTTTGGTTGGCTGGGGTAACCTGTGGGATATGGGGTTGTGGCAAAGGAGGAGTATAAGTGATTACTGTATGTGCTACTGGCGTCGGGCTGCTTGTAGGCGTCGTATTTGTGTATATTGGACCTGAAGGCTTGGGACCGGGCGGAATTGGTGCGTATCCAGGGCTTGCGACAAAATGAGGAGCAAGTGTCACGGGCAATGCAGCACCTTGAGCATTGCCTGGAGCGAGGGGAGGAGATGCAGGCTGTGGGGCTTCGGGGGCGTGCCACTCCTCATGTGGAGCCTCAACCGGAGGAAGGGGAGCATTCCAAGAAAAGAGGTCTAGGGCGATCAATCCTTCTGCTGTATATCTACTACAAAAGTTGGGTGTTGCAACATACCACCTGGGGATGATTAGTCACGAGGAAACATGGCTGGCAAAGAAAGAGAGGGTAAGTGTAGTCGAAGGAACAACATACGGATTACATGTTTGGCTTTGGATTCTACGCCAATGGCGAACAAGGCAGGCACATATAAACGAGCGAATGTGCGCATCCTGCTATGATTGCCCTTACACAAAGCGAGTGACAGTGCAAAGGTGCAAGCAAGACGTTGTTGCAGCGCAGCAGCAGCAGCAGCGACGAGAGGAAACTAGCGAGTGATGCTCTGATCGGGTCGGTTTGGTGGTGGCAGACCAAGTGCATTTGCCGCGCTGATTGACGGCGGTCCATGCGCTTCTCCCGGTGCCCCTTGGCAAAGCGACATGCCGTGGACGCGTATATACCTACAGGTGCTGTGGTATATGCTGTTATGTCAGGAGACGCTGCCACTCTACCTGTGCTCGACGACAATGTGCTGGCAGTAAGCCCAGCGCCCTTCACCTGGTACCAGGCCTTTCCGCTTCCATTTGCTCTGCCACTGCCGGAGTGAACTTTGCTGCGAGCTACAAGCCCGAACCGGTAGTGTATCGACGACGCTGACACTGGTGCCATGGCAAACTCTGTCCTCAGCTATCCACGTGATACGTCATCTCCTTGGATCCGCCATCCACGCGGCCGATCGAGTACGGGCGTGGTGGCAATGGAAGAGGGGCAGTCCAAGCCATGACTGAGTTGTCTGTGTGTACTTATAAATGCGGTGCGTAGGTACGTACTCGACTGCATGTGTACACAGATATGTACCGATTGCGCCTGAAGGGGCACAGGCAGGCCGCTTGCGACATTTTCGAGCCACTGCCCCAAACTGCCAAGCATCAAGTGTCGCCCGATGCAGACGGGCATGACACTGGCAGCAACGGCATCATCTCAACAGTAGGGGCATTGAACAGGACGGCAGGGTGGTTGTGCCAGATAAGTGAATGGAGGCTGACATGGCCTGCGGCAAGCCCCGGCACCGCCGCCTCCTATTGGCTGCGAGCCCAGCACGACCAGAAGACCATCCCTCAACATGACTTCACCCTTGTGCCGCTCCCATGCCATCTCGTATTCACCGCCCTACATTTCGCACTACCACGTAGGCAGGCTTTCGGTAAGCCTGGGATCATGGGCACGGCCGGTGATCATCGCCTCGGGAGCCATGGAGCTACTCCGCGCCTTGCCGTCGCGCATCCATCCCATTCCTTCAAACCTTCGCGACTTTTCGACGCCAGCCTCCCGGTAGGTGAGACTGGGTCGATAATTCTCCGACCAAGGGGTCGACACACAATCTCACTCGTACCCCACCTCACCCACTGGCTAACGCCCTGCACCGCTCCCCTCAATGGCCTTCTGCTTGCTCACCTCCCTCCCCTCCCTGCATCATGAGTCTTGCTGCGCGGGCGACGGGCGCCCCCGCCCCCTACACCGTTCCTCCCTCTGGCAAGTTCGACGGCGCTGATGGCAGCTGGAGCACCTTCAAAGTCAGTGTTGGCTCGCCAGGCCAGGATTTCCGTCTAATACCGAGCACCAAAGCAGGCGTCACATATGTAATTGCTCCAGAGGGTTGCTTGGCTGGAGTCGACCCCTCAAACTGTCCCCAGCTTCGCGGAATCGAAATCTTCAACAGTGCGCAAAACACTGGCTTCCAGGTCAACGCGTCGTCAACATGGTCAGCGATAGGGCAGTTCGAAGTCGATCTCGAGGAGGACCTCAACTACACCGGACGAGGCCTGTTCGGAACTGACGTTGTATCCCTGGGAGCCGCTGCCGATCATGGCTCGTCTCTATCCCTCACAGGTTCCATCGTCTCTGCTATAGCAGATCCTGACTATTATCTGGGAATGCTTGGGCTTGGTCAGGTCAAATCCAGCTTTAGCAGCCTAAGTCAACCGGTCGATTCGACGCTCTATCAACTACGCAACAACAGACAAATACCCAGTTTTTCCTACGCGTACACGGCAGGCGCAAAGTACCGATTGAAGTCTGTCCTGGGAAGTCTAATCCTTGGAGGCTACGATTCGACACGATTCGACACCGACACCGAAAACCTGTCTTTTACATTTTCCCAGGACTCTTCTCGGCTTCTGACTGTCGGTGTCGACTCAATAATGGCCATCAACACGCTGCAGGGCACTTATTCCCTCACGTCTGGCGCACACTTTTCCGTCATCGACTCAACTGTGCCACATTTGTGGTTGCCCGAGAGCGTTTGCGCTGAATTCGAAACCGCCTTTGGCCTTACTTATGATCCTAAAACAGACCTTTATCTCGTTAATGACACTATCCACGAACAACTGGTCTCGAATAACCCGACACTCACCATTAAGCTTACCAACTCGCTGGACGGTGCAACCAACAACTACACCAATATCCAACTGCCATATGCTGCGTTCGATTTGCAAGCTTCGTATCCCTTCTACCAAAACGCCACAAACTACTTCCCGATCCGTCGCGCCGCGAATGAATCGCAGTACGTACTCGGCCGAACATTGCTACAGGAGGCATACTTGATTGTCGACTATGAGCGGGCAAACTTTACGGTTGCGCAAGCAGTGTTTCCCGACCCTCTACCTCCTGCAGTAATTATTACAATCGTTCCACCAAGCGAATTACCAGCAACCCCATCCTCGTCTTCAGATCTCAGCACCGGCATAATTGTCGGAATAGCAATCGGCGCAGTCGCAGGTATCGTTATTGCTATTGTAGCATTCTTCCTGTGTTTCCGTAAACGACGCGGCAAGAAGCAGGCACAGGTCAATCAACAATACGAATTGGCAGCCAAAAATATATCCGAAATCGAATCTGGAAACAACATGTCTTCAAGCATCTTACCACTCAAAGATGCGGGCCCACAAGAACTCAACAGCATGCCATTAATAGAGCTCGCATCTCTTGCCAACGACCATGCAGTAGGACATGCCTATCCACAAGATCAAAAAACAGTCATTCAGGTAACGAACGAACCACAAGAGCTGCATGGCGAGTCGATGATACCAATCACACCCAAATGGCAAGAGGTACAAGCACCGCCGCCGACTTACCACCACGACAGGGATGGAGAAAGTAGTACCAGCCAAGGTGTGAGCACGATGCTGAGTGACAGCACAATTACACCCAGCGATTCGAACACACAAGTTTTAGTTTCACCACTTACGCCTTGGATTCCTCAGTATAGATATTGATGATTGGGTCGGCATTTTCTCCAGCATACAATTGGAGTTTGGGTGTCATTTTTTTTGAGATACCACTTATATGTAGAAAAGGGCGGGGTTGTATGCATTTCTAGCAACAGTGTAAATCTAGTAATATCCTGTTTCTATGCCTCCAAACGGAGGGTGAATCGGCACTCAATATTTTTGTATAGTTAACTATAACTAGTTAACTACCGATAATATTACATAATACCATCGAGCTTCTGATGCTGCACGTTTTTTGGTCTATTCGAGAGTAAGCACTGTGCGTAACGGAGAAAGTGAGTGCAGATTCAGTGTGGCTTAGGCTCCAAGGTGCATTCAACTTCCATACTTGTTCACAATCTCTTACTGGCGGGTACATGTGCTTAAGGCTTCTCCTCGGATCTTTCTGATTTCTTGGATAACAGGGCCGACCGGATGGATGTTGTCCACTTGAGGAGAGTTTTGCGAACAGCAAATATGTACATGACACACACGTCACCTATGGATGAAAATGGTAGAGATTGTGCATAAGCGTAGGTGTCAACACTTTTCGCTACCGTCCATGTTTTCCTCAAGTCCGATGTGGATGCTAAGCACATGCAGGTGCTCCCGCACACATTGGGCCGAATCGGGGATCCATGTCCAATGTAACCCAATGAAGACATGCAATCCAAAAGAACTGACTGCATGAATTTCAAACCGCAACAAAAGTGGCCTTAGTCCATTCGTAAATGAAATCATGAACCTTGCTTGAATAGATCCACTCATAACAAGGCAGCTGGTCGTTTGATTGTCTCCAGCCTATGACGTAGGCGCCACGCATAGTTGGTAGCCATCACCCCTCATCCCCACGACTCCTTCTCCCTAGACAACACCCCAGACACTTAACCTTTGCTCTGTTTACACATCTACGCTCATCATACAACCCTGTAACGAATACTCCCTAGCAAAAAAACCTAGAATTCCCAATCGGCAATGGACAAGATCAAGGAGAAGCTCCACATTGGCAGCGGTCGTCGCAAGTCGCAGCCTGACAACGACTTTGCTACCGACACCGGTCATGTCGGCACTATTGAGGGTACGTAATTAATTACCACATGTTATATGAAAACGTTATATCCGCAAGCTGCCGTCCCTTTGATTGCTTTCTAAGCAAGGGTTGAGCATATGTGACACTTCAGCCTCACCACTAACAATGAGAATAGAAAACCGTGACTCGATCGACTCTGAGCTTGCAGCGATGCCTCCACACGAGCGTGTTGCCTATCTGAAAGAATTCGAAGAGTCGGATAAGGCCGACGCACCCAAGAAGGGAGGCCTCATCGAGAAGCTCATTGCGCGAGGCAACAAAAAGACCGAAGACCAGATTGCAGCAGAGACCAGGGAGCGTGAGGCACGCGAGAAAGCTCACCGCGAAGCAACACACGCATCCATGGGTCCCGGCGTGGGTGCTAGCGCTCAATCAGCTGCAGGCCCTGGTAGCTTGTAAGCCATATCGACGAAAGAGCGCTAGTGAATTACGAATGAGAATGAGTGAGAAAAAAACATTTCTTTATGACTATGGACCGTGAAGGAGACCCTTTTTGGGGAAGGGCGATGAACGGCAGATTCCATACATACTTTTACCGACATGACGATCAATGACATCAATCTGAGCTAAGCTGAGCTGAACTCTGAACTCCTGGGATTTGCATGGTGCAATAGCCGGAAGCAATGCGTAACTGGGTAGCTGAACACAAGAGACTCGAAACCTCTACTGACAATTCTATGATTTACAATTTCGTTAGATATTCCTAGGTCCCTAAGCTTGATGCCATGCAACAGTACACTACGATGCTTCGTTCTCTATTGCCCTTTGATCTATTTGCCCATATCTTCAATACCCAAGTCAACAGCGGTGCCATTAAGCTACTCGCAAGAAACAACGGAAATATGAGATAGTTGTCATTTACAAGGTCTAATGCAGAACATTACACCTAACACGTGAAATCAAACACGAAACATCCCTTTTCACTGTCCGAGTCTTCCTCCTGTCCATTTGCTCGCCTATGAAGCTGGTATATTACAAAGAAC